GAGCAAAGCTGGCACGAGCCAAGCACCAGGGAGGATGCCACGGCCATTAGGCACCTCCGCTGCGGGCAGGAGCGGGCGCCAGGACGTGCCCTGGGGGTTGATTTCGCGCAAAGGGCCGGAGGATTTAAGCAAGGCGGGAAGGCCCCACGTCAGCACGGGTTAGCAAAACACTGGCGGCGCAGAGAATAAATGCGGGATTTTAAAAATAAATCATTTCAGAGTAACGGGGAAGGGGGTTAAAACCAACCAGAAGACAACTAACGTGTGCCTAGAAAACAGGACAAAGTGACCTGCTCTTTCAGCAGCCAACAGGTCCAGTACCCGGGGGGAGACCACCAAGGGTGGCATAGGGTGACACCAGAAGTGCCCGGCAGCTGCACGAGGGTGCCCGGAGCCGGGTGCCGCAGCGCAGCGGTAGGAATTGCTGCGCGTCCGGGGTTGTCAAGTTTTGGAGCAAACATAAAACCAAAGATGTGGCCACTCTGGGACAGTAAATCTCTTTCATGAAGCCTTTCCCACAATTAGGAGTGTTAGTCCCAGTGCTCTGGCCACAGTCCAGTCCAAGGAATCACAGACGTCTTCTCCGAGCTCCCTCCTCCCCGCACTCCAGTTATGGACCTGACACTCTTCACCTCCTGTCCTAAGGGGACACGCGGTGCCACCGTGGCTGTTGCGCTGTCACACGTGAGCAGGGACAGCGCTGGGCACCCCAGCAAGCAGCTGCAGAGGGACATTTTGGGTGGGCAGTACCCAGGCACCCCAATCCCTGTGTTCATGCCGGCCTTGCAGCCACCCCCAAAAAGGGGTCCAAAAGCCTAAGCTCGCCCCGCACAAAAAGCCGGAGCTTGGAGGTGTGTTTCTGGAATGCTGCAGGCCGTGAGTGCCGCATTTCCTGGGAATGGCGCAGACCGGCTCCGAGCAGCGCTCCGCCACGGCCACTGCTCCATGGGGAGCGTCTCCCACTGCAGCAGCCCCCCGTGTCCCCCCCCCCGGGCCTTGGGTGCTGCTCCCAGCCCGGCCCACATTTGGTCCCAGCAGCTGCTGCAGGGCAGGTGACACCAACAGGACACAGGGATTCAAGGGGAGTACGTTCGTAATTCCAGTTTAGCTACCGTGCCACCTCATCACGACATTAAGCAAAACTCCCGGGGCTCCAAAAGCCCATTTGGAGGCTCAGCCCGCGAGTGTCCCTTGGAGGAGGGACCCAGCACCGCGTTGGCCTCCTTGGCGGGCAGGGAAGGTGCCCGGGTGAGAGCAGAGCCCGTTTTGCCTGGCCCCTGCGCTCGGGCCCACGGCCTCTCCAGCACGGGCTGCTCAGGGCTTGTGCTAGAACAAAAGAGGAAGCCCCATAAATCAGGCGCAACTTTCCCTCTGCGCGTTTTCATCACTTTCCTTGGAGGCAGGAAGCTCCGGCGCTCGCTGAGCTGCCGCTCGCAGCTAGCGGTCACTGCGGCACCGCTCAGAGGCCGGGGGTGGCAGAGCCCACGTGGCCCCTTAGTGACCCTGGGGACAGAGAACGGTCACGGTGAGGGCACAGGGTACCTTGGCAGAGACTTGGGGAGTGTTTCCAATCTTGGGCTTTCACCTGTCTGCATCTGCAGCAAGGTCCCCAGCACAATGTGCGTTAGCCAACCCTGGCTAATTCAAAAAATTACAAGCAAAATAGGCCAGAATAGATGTTGGGGCAACACATCTGCTCTGCCTGGGAGTCCTCAGGGCTGAGCAACAGCCTGTGCCCCTAACAACTCCACGGAGAAGGAAGTTCTGGCAGCAGCACCCAA